GAGGCAGATGAGTATTTTAGGTAGTAAACTGAAATATTAACCACTACAAGCAAGATCTTGAGTAATTGGATATTGAAGAGCATTGCTTGAGGGTTAAGGTCACCAAGGCAATCAGCAAGGGAAAAGCTGTTATGCTGATGTTAGCATCTGCAACTGCCATCAGTCCTGAAGAGATGCCATACGTATGAAGGTGTTTATCAATACTGTTGTCCCATCAAAGTAGATAAAATCAGTATATGAGTCAATCACCTCCCACTGTGAGATATCACTACAATTTACTTTGCCAAAAGGAAACGGTTCTTACAGTTTGGTGATACATCAGATTATTTACTCTGCTGCTTCTCATATAGAAAAACAGCCTCAAGAAGTTGTCTAAATTTGATAAGGGAGTCATTAAAATGTAGTAATATAAATGTAAGATTCTGAGTATGTTCAACCCTTTTCCTTTTGCAGAGATAAAGCTGAATCTTCCTTTTAACAGACACGATGCAGAATGAAAAAAGTTCAACAGAAATTCACATTTTCAACTGTTTGTGGTGGTCCTCCTTTTTAACAGGCTGACTATTAGAACTGAGTTTGGTAGATAGGAATCTTGTTTTGAAAACTGCTTGTTCAAACTATATTCATCTTTGTCCCCCTAATTGTTTGTGTGATGTATTCAGCATATCAAAGAGGATTATTTTGACACAAAATGTAAAATATTTCCCATTTTTGAAGAAGATAAAAGTAATCCTAGGAGTTACATTATATTTGTTTTGGTGGAGATTTTATTGTCATTGTATTATTGTACTATGCAAATATGTTCCAAGATGAAATTTTTGGTAATGGAGGCCTGAAATAACGTCTAATAAACAAAACATGAATAAACTAAAAGGTGGAAAGAGAGAAAATTATAGCATGACATTAGCTGGTGTTAATCGCACTTCCTCTGCTCGACTTCACTGATGCTTTTTATTCAATCCTCCATCGAGTATTATTACAAAATCTGGAATTTTCATTAAGAAACCCATAGCACCTGCACCATATTTACTGACAAACTGTAAGGAAAGGTGGCTGTACTGAGTCTTTAGCTAAGCCCAGAAAACACGATGCAGTACTTCAGGTTGGGAATAGCCTGATGATTCTGAGTGCAAGTTAAGATTGTGAGCTGCTGCTCATAGCTGCTTTTGTAATAAGTTGCTATAAGCCTGGAATGATTACTTCTCTCTTTCCTTTGGCCTTTTCTTCTGTCCAGAGTAGTATATGCTATGTATGTGTAAAACACAGGATAATGCCGACCCCATTCAATCCCCAATCCTCGTAGAGGGAGAAGGAAAAAAAAAGAAAAAAAAAAGTAGGGAA